ATGCCACGGCACTCTACCCAGGGGGACAGCTTGAGGCTCCTGTCTCAAAAAAAAAAAAAAAAGAAAAAGAAAATGCTTGTCAGGCCCATTTGCTTTAGAGTCTTGTTTAAATAACCTTGTTTCTTTATTTGTTTTCTGCTTGAAGGATCTGTCCAGTTCTGTCAGTAGGATGTTGAAGTTCTTGGCTATTACCATCTTACTGTTTATCACTGTAGATCTGCTAAGGTTTGCTTTATAAATCTGGGTACACCTGTGTTAGATGCCTAAATATTTAGAATGATCTAGTGACTATCTTTTCTTTCTTTACTTTGGTTGCTCTGAAGTCTTATGTTATCTGATACGAGAATGGCTCTACCAGCTTTCTTTTGCATTTTCATGGAATATTTTTTTCCATCTCTTCACCTTAAGTCTGAATGAGTCCTTGTGAATTAGATGTATTCCCTGGAGATAGCAGATACTTGGCTTATATATTTTTATCCACTCAGCTAGCCTATGTCTCTTGAGAGGGGAGCTCAATCCATTCACTCTCCTTGGGCTTGGTGAAATCTAGGGATACTCTTTATATAAACTCTGTGCTTTGAGCAAAAGATGTTGAAGCAGAAAAGTACATAGTCCAAAAGAAAAAAAAGCGAAGGAGGAAATCCTAAAGAGAATGGCAGACCTGAACCTAGAATCAGTGGGGAAGGGCAGGGAGGTTTGTAGGAGGGGGCTGGCTGGCAGGTGGTTCTTCTGATACATCTGCATGCAGAGGGCATCCTATGAGGGAACTGTGTGAATTCCTTTTTCCCTCTGATGTGCTTCCAAGATAACTGAGATGTGATTCTGTGGTCTTTCTAACACAGCTTTATTCTTCTCTAGACCCTATATCTATGGGCCTACGTCCCAAGGAGAAAGGATGCAAATTCTCCAGAATTTCAAACACAACCCCAAAATCAACACCATCTTTATATCTAAGGTTTGTGTGGCATGCAGGGTGGGAGTGAGGCCCCAATCCCTCCAGGGGCCTAGGGTGCGCTGGGATTCCCAGACACTGATTCATGTTTGTTGAAGGAAATTCTTGTGTATATTTTCATTCCCACACATCCAAGGACACAAGATTCTGCAGATTCACAATTTTCATGCATCTTAGTTACTATCTATAAAGGTCTTTGCTCAACTGAGGTGTTTCCCACCTCTTTGGGGGATTTAGGAGTTTTAAGTTGTATCTCCTTTATAAAAGGAATGAAAGTTCATTTCCTACTCTGACAAAAGTAGGCATTCAGGTGAGGTTCTCTTTGCGAAGAATCCTGTGTAGAGTCCTGGGTGTTGTGGATCCTTTGTCCTGCCACTGGTGTGGCTTGATGGTAGGTGGCCAGTGTCAGCATGGACTCACACAGGTCCAGCTCAGGAATGGCTTCACTCTGCAATCAGAAGCTGTGGCTCCACAGTTAAAAACAGTCTTTCAGATTAAGGCAGACCCAAGGCCCCAAAAGAGTGATCCCTTTAAAGGGATCATGACTGAGCAAGTAAGCACCAACTAATGTGTCTCCAGTCTGTGGCTGGTTGGAGTCCTGGAGCTGAGGAGTCCACCTGCAGTCAGAGTCCTGTGCCAGGCAGTGGCCCCTCCCAGATTGTGTTGTCCCCCATGTGCTGCTGGTCTCAGTGGCCACCAAATAGGAGTATGAATGGTTTTGTGAAGACCTGCTTCTCTAGCTAAAAAAATAAATTACCAAGTGAGTCCCTGTTAAAGGGCTCTCTCCCCTCTGGGCCCTTGGCACCCAGCACTGGGAAGAATACTGAAATGTGGTGGTGATTCTTCAGGGTGGCTCCTAAGAGAACTCATAGTAGGTCCTAGAGGCCCACAGTTGCCTTTCTGAGATCCATTACTTCACCTCTGCCTGCATCAGATGAACCCTGGTATGTAGAGCTTATTTAAATTCTTTTTGTTTCATGTATAAAAACTTTCCTACCGGTTGTGGTTGTATATGCCTGTAGTCCCAGCTACTCGGGAGGCTAAAGTGGAAGGATCACTTGAGCCCAGGAGTTTGAGACCAGGCTGGGCAAGCAACATAGTGAGAACCGTTTATCTTTTTAAAAAAACTAAAATCTTTCCCAAACTCATAGCTGCTTCATTTCTATAGGTAGGTGACACATCATTTGACCTTCCAGAAGCAAATGTTCTCATTCAGATCTCTTCCCATGGTGGCTCCAGGCGGCAGGAGGCGCAGAGGCTAGGGCGGGTGCTTCGAGCCAAAAAAGGTAAAGTGATCTCTTCTTACGCTACAGGGGATCTCTCCTCTTGAACTACTTTGACTAGGAAGGGAGTATGGGTGAGTTGCCAGGGATACTTGGTGTACCCTGGGGTTGAATAGACAGGGGTCCCAAAGCAAAGACCAGGATTCCCAGGGCCCTTCCTTATTTCTTGCATCTTGGGTGTTTTCCAGTGCAGGGGCCTAGAATTTACAGGGGTGTGCCCTACAGTTAGCATTTGTATTGGTAGATGCTAAGAGGGAGCCAGGGTAAGGCAATGCTTAATGTGATATGGAAGAGAGAGAGCAGAATGGGCCACCAGCAGAAGTGGAGGAGCTGGAAGCTGCCTGGATCTCAAGGCAGGAGATGGGAGAGAGTTTGACAGGAGCAGTGTGGGCAGCCACAGAATGGACACATTCCTCTTAACCTATGAATAGTGCTGCCCTGGTGGTAGCCCATAGCAGGGGCATCACGAGCTCAGTGAAGGAAGAGGTAAGAGGCAGCATTGCAAGGGCTGTTACTGAGGCAGTGTGGTGCCTCTGTGCTTGTTAAGTGCAGTGAAAGGGCCCAGCCCCTAGCAGTGGGGAATGGTGGGGACTGACATTGCTGCTAAAAGGTGGCTCTTCTCTCTTACTGGAACCAAGCCATATCCTGAGACAGGGATACAGACCTTGTCCTCAGGGAATTTGCTTATCTTAGAGGCATCTAGACGGCAAGGCTGTTTGAAAGTGGCAAGATAAGTAGGCATGTATTGAAGTCACACTATATTCAAATACATTTCATAGGCAGCTTATTCATTGTATTTAAAATGGAGATAGGGCAGATGGTAGAAATAGCATGAACTTGGGCAAATTATTTGCCCCTCTGAGCATTGGTTTTTCCATCCAGAGTGAGGGTAACAGTCCTCTTGCTGGTACTGCTGTGAGAATTGACATTATAAACTGCTAGATAGACTATAGAGGGCAGACAGGAATATAGCCATTGTGAAAGTAATTTATTGCTTATGCCTTACTCTAATTTAAAAAACTCCTTTATGAGGCTCAGCGCCTGTGGCTGAAGCAGCTAAGGCACCAGCCACATACATTAGAGCTGGTGGGTTTGAATCCAGCCCAGGCCTGCCAAACAATAATGACAACTGCAGCCAAAAAATAGTTGGGCATTGTGGCAGGCACCTGTGGTCCCAGCTACTTGGGAGGCTGAGGCAGGAGAATCGCTTAAGCCCATGAGTTGGAGGTTGCTGTGAGCTGTGATGCCATAGCATTCAACCCAGGGCAACAACTTGAGCCTCTGTCTCAAAAAAAAAAAAAAAAAAAAAAAAGATTCCTTTGTGATTAGAATTATGGTTTCATACTCAAAACACTGCTTGACAAAAAGATTTTTGGCCCCTGTGTTCCAGGCTCTTGTAAGACTAAGAAACAATTGAATTTAAAGGTAATATATAGAAGCTTAATCTACTGACATTTCACTCTGAAGTGAAGATGTTCAGATTTTCCTGAAGGATCAGGTCTTTCAGGCTACATGATTTTATATCCTAGTCCTCCCTTAGCCAAGGTTTTGCTTTCCAAAGTTTCAATTATCTGTGGTCAACCATGGTCCATAAATATTAAATAAAAATATTTTTATATTCCAGAAATAATTTGTAAGTTTTAAATTGCGCACCCTTCTGAGTAGCACACAGTACATGGATTATCCCTTTGTCCAGTGTCTGCCTGCTGTTTACACTACCCACCCATTAGTCATTTAGTAGCCATTTCAGTTATCAGATCCACTAGCGGACACACTGTGGCAGTGTCACAGGATTCATGTTCAAGTCACAAATAGTTCACTACATTATCGTCTCAAAGTGCAAGGTAGATACTGGCAGTTGCCAAAGAGAAACCATGAAGTGGTTTTCAAGAAGTTTTCAAGTGAAAAAATAAAAGTTCTCATTAAGAAAAGAAAAAAATATATATGCTAACATTGCTCAGATATGTGGTAAAAACAAATCTTTTTTTTCTTGCCGTGGCCCCCACCACGTCAATAGAGACACCCCATCTCCACGTCCCACACTATACTCACAGGGCCCCCATCTGTACACCCCCCACTATACTCCTGGGGACCCCCATCTCTGCATTCCACCACTACACCTACAGGAAACCCCTATATCCATGTACTCCAGGAACCATCTAGAATAAATGATCTATCTGTGAAATTGTGAAGAAGGAAAAAGAAATTTCATGCTAATGTTGTTAACACCTCAAACTGCAAAAGTTACAGCCTTATCACGTGATGACTTTTATTATAGCAGATTGTTAATAATTGTTCTGTTTCATTATTCATCTCTTGCTCTGCCTAATTGGTAAAATAAGCTATCATAGGGCTGGGTACCTGTAGATCAGTGGTTAGAGCACCAGCCCTGTGCACCAGGGGTGGAGCTTCAAACCTAACCTAGGCTTGTTTAACAACAACCACCAAAAAAGGCTGGACTTGGTGCCTGTGGTTCAGCAACTAGGGTGCCAGCCACATACAGTGAAGCTGGCAGGCTCAAATCCAGCCCAGGTCTGCCAACCACCAGTGATAACTACAACCAAAAAATAGCCGGGCATTGTGGCAGGTGCCTATAGTCCCAGCTACTTGAGAAGTTGACCCAAGACAATTGCTTAAGTCCAAGAGTTTGAGGTTGCTGTGAGCTGTGATGCCACAGCACTCAACCCAGGGTGACAGCTTGAGACTCTGTTTAAAAAAAAAAAAGGCTGGGCGCGGTAATCCTAGCATTCTGTGAGTCCAAGGCAGGTGGATTGCCTGAGCTCACAGGTTCAAGACCAGCATAAGCAAGAGTGAGACCCCATTTCTAAAAGTAGCTGAGCATTGTGACAGGGGCCTTTAATCCTAGCTACTCGGGAGGTTGAAGCAAGAGAATCGTTTGAGCACAAGAGTCTGAGGTTGCTGTGAGCTATGATGGTACAGCACTCTACTGAGGGCGACAAAGTGAGGCTGTCTCAAAAAAAAGAATAAGCTATCATAAACATGCATGCATAGGAAAAATCATCATGCCTATAGAGTTCAGTGCTATCCAAGGTTTCAGGCATCTACTGGGGAGTATTGGGATTTTGTATTACCAATGGTTGGATACTTTTCCGGTCAGCCCTCATATGCTTCACAAATATTTCCTGATGCCTGGGCTGCTTTTTCAGTTTATTGCTGGTGCCCTTGGAGGCACAAAAGGTTTTTGATTTGACACAGTCTTCTGTGAAGTCTCCTGCCTCTAATGGTCCCCTGACTGCAGAGCTTTCCCACTGCAGAACTTGGTTTTGAGCCTGGAACCCTTCACTCCTGACATTCTAATGGCTAAAGTCGTCTTCTCTCTTCCCTTCTCTCTCCTCCCCCCAGGGATGGTCGCAGAGGAGTACAATGCCTTCTTCTACTCACTGGTGTCCCAAGACACACAGGAAATGGCCTACTCAACTAAGCGGCAGAGATTCTTGGTAGATCAAGGTTACAGCTTTAAGGTACATGACTATTTGGCCTGTGGTCAGACTAGAACCAAGGCCTTTTTGATACATCAGCCTCTAGGAGAAGTGGGGGCCATTGTTGGCATTCAGACAAACCTCAGGCAAGCACAGAAAGCATTAGAGGATTAGGGGCGTTTTCCCAGATTCCCTTTGTCTCTGCACAAATCACTGAGGGCAGCCTCAGCTATTGGTGGGAAGTGAACTAGCCTGGTAGGACGGAGGTGCCCAGGCACTGTGTGAATTTGAGCCCCTTGGGCTTCCTTTCTCAAGGGTGCCCTTCCAGGTGGCTAGGAGAGCTCTTCCTTTTGTCAGCTGTATGCTCTAGGCCAGGGGTCCTCAAACTTTTTAAACAGAGGGCCAGTGGCTTGGTGCCTGTGGCTCAAGTGGCTGAGGTGCCGGCCACATACACCTAAGGTAGTGGGTTCGAATCCAGCTCGGGCCTGCCAAACAACAATGATGGCTACAACCAAAAAAAAATAGCCAGGTGTTGTGGCGGGCGCCTGTGGTCCCAGCTACTTGGGAGGCAGAGGCAGGAGACTCGCTTGAGCCCAGGAGTTGGAGGTTGCTCTGAGCGAGCTGTGATGCCACAGCACTTTACCCAGGGGGACAGCTTGAGGCTCTGTCTCAAAAAAAAAAAAAAAAAAAAAAACAGAGGGCCAGTTCACTGTCCCTCAGACCGTTGGAGGGCCGGACTGCTGGCCCTGGGATGAGTTGGCTGCTAAGCAGGATAGGCAGTGGCAGCAAAAACACCTGGCGGGCTGGATAAATGTCCTAGGCAGACTGTAGTTCAAGGACACCTGCTCTAGGCCTTAGCTTGCCTCCCAGATGCCAGAATCATCCCTAGACTATAGGTCAGATATTTGAATAACAGGAATTCAAAAGCTTTGGCTAACTTTCACTGGCTAAGGTATTTGTTTTCTTTCCTGTGACAGAAATACTAAGTTTATGTCAGGATTTAGTGCCCCAAATAGGGAGGGAGTGGGGGGGAGCTTCAAGAAACAGGGAAGAAAATTGCCCCTGTCATCCATTAAAAGGCTGTCACCAGAACACACAGGTTCCCAGGTTCTTGATTGCAGAAGGCTATAGGGTACCTTTTCAGATACACTTTAATTGTGGCTTTCCTGAGTTAATGAGCATTCCCATTGTCAATTGTTATTAGATAGGAGGACTGGGCCTCTCTTCTTATAGCCAGAGGCTGTGACACCTTTCAGACCTCTCCTGCTGGCTAGAGTACAGGAAGTTTGGGGGTTAAGCCCACAATTTTTCAAGGATTTGCATTGTGACCTTTTTACCTACTTGTAAAAGTCCGTGCTGAGAACAGCACTCATACCTCGTGATTCCTATAGGGCAAGAGACTCACCACATCAGAAAGAGCTGCTCTCAGTTCTTTGAAAGGGTAACTGAACAGAAAGGCACTTGAACTTAGGGTTGTCTATGTTGACTAGAGCTCATCTTCAACACTGCCTGCCAAGAGCAACAGTTAAGAGTTCCCAGAGTCATGACCCTGGAGTGGTCAGTCCACGAGACACACGTGTGCATTGTCTTTACTCCTGATCTCTGGCCACCTGTAGGATTCAGTCAGATTCTTAATTCCTAGGAGTTTCCCTTCAGTTAACATTGTGAGAGGGTGGCGCCTGTGGCTCAAGGAGTAGGGCGCCAGCCCCATATGCCGAGGGTGGCCGGTTCAAACCCAGCCCTGGCCAGAAACCTGCAGGGAAAAAAAAAAAAAATTGTGAGAATTGGAGTGGGTATGGCCCTTACTTACATGGTCAATCCAAGCTTTCTGCAGGGAACAGGAAGGCCTTGTAGTAATTGTAGTAAGTTATCCCTGTAGGTAGGAAAACCAGTCGCCCAGAAATCATGCTGCTTTCTCATTCTTGTAGAGAAAGTCTATAAATAAATTCTTGACATCCTATCATTTTTAAGTGCTCACCCTTGCTGGAAGCCCTGGGTGCTGAGCGCAACAGATTGCAGGGCTCCAGTTTATGCTTTTCAGTGTGTTATCCCTTCCTTTCCCTGGTGCAAGATGGGTAACTACCCAAAGGAGTCTTTAAAATCACAAATGATGGCTCAACGCCTGTGGCTCAAGTGGCTAAGGCGCCAACTACATACACCTAAGGTGGTGGATTCGAATCCAGCCCGGGCCCGCCAAACAACAATGATGGCTGCAACCAAAAAAAAAAAAAATAGCCAGGCGTTGTGGTGGGCGCCTGTGGTCCCAGCTACTTGGGAACTGAGGCAGGAGACTCGCTCGAGCCCTGGAGTTGGAGGTTGCTGTGAGCTGTGATGTCACAGCACTCTACCCAGGGGGACAGCTTGAGGCTCTGTCTCAAAATAAATAAATAAATAAAATCACAAATGATTCCTATGGGATCATTTAGATGCTATGTGCTGAAAGCAGGTTTCTTTGGACTCCTAAAACTCCCTGTGGCGCAATCATTAGTCAAGCTCCCTGTTAGAGGCAGGTCCTGACTCTGGTCTCCAAGATGCCCAAGAGGAGCTCTCTGTTGGTCGCTACCTGGCTTCCCTGAGGAGGGAAGTGACCAGAGCAGTGGACCCAGAAGGCAGAGTAGGACCAAGACAGAGAGAGCAGGAGGGAACACGCCTGCTGGTTTGGGCTTTGCAGGTGATCACAAAGCTTGCTGGCATGGAGGAGGAAGACTTGGCATTTTCAACAAAAGAAGAGCAACAGCAGCTCTTACAGAAAGTCCTGGCAGCCACAGACCTGGACGCCGAGGAGGAGGTGGTCGCGGGGGAGTTTGGCTCCAGATCCAGCCAGGTGAGTGAGTGGCTGAGGAGGTTCCAGGTGGCAGTGCTCCCAAGGACAGTGTTTGCATACAGATACACATGTGCACATAGTTTTTAAACATGGAAAACAGATAAATGTGGAGATAGAATTAATAGAAATAACCCCTGTTACCCTTCTGGTGTGCGTCCTGTCTTGCTGTTGTACCCAGCCGAGCTCGTGTGGCTGTGAGTGGGGTTCTGCTGTGTTCACTTAACAGTCTGATGTGAGTATCTGTGTTAGTACCTTGACGTTGGAGCTCAGGATGGCAAGCAGGTGACCGTGGAATGGAGCATGACAGGCCCAGGGCTGCCATTTTTGGCCACAAGCAAGTCATTTCCCCTTCTTGGTGATCAAGCTGAGCCTTTCAGCCTATAAGAAGCAGCTGTCATGGTAGCTTAATACTTACTTTGAAAAAGCTTAAGAATTCTTTGAAAATATTCAGCCTTTCATTTATTTTGCAAATACTTATTGAGTACCTTACTGTGTGCCAGGCAAATGTATTATGATGAAATTAACAGGAATATCATTATGGAGAATTCCTGCCAGGCCCTTCCAAGGAAAGAAGTGCACTTTAGTCAGGTGCCTTTGAAGCTTAGTTGGCGTTAGAGCCAGGAGGTGAGCAACAGCTGGGCCAACGCAAGAAGGAAGCAGCTGTCCACTGGGGAGGTGCTGCCCTACCCCAGCCCAAAGTCTTCTCCCCCGCCCCACATGGGGCATCTCCATGGCAGTATTCTGCTCTCACTGGACCTACAGTGATGACAGATCTATCACCCTCACAGCATAGGGTCCGTGAGGCCCTAGGAAGACATGATTGCCATACTTGGTTACACATTCAGCATCCAATCTAGTGCCCAGCTCTGAGCCAAACCCTTGGCTTATGCGATTTCTGTTCATACCCTATCTCTGGGCAGAGGTTATTCTCATTTTGCAGATGAATTCATTGAGGCACAGACATTCAGTACTTGCCCAGGGGTTACCCAGTGAGAGGTGGAGCCAAGACTTAAGCCCTGGGCTTTCTGTCTTTTTACTTGTTTCAAAGCCCCATGGTGGTGTCTCAGGAGATTTTAAAGGACTTCTGCCCTAACTGTTAAAAATTCTGTCCTGGTTGGGTGCTGTGGCTCACCCTGTAATCCTAGTACCATGGGGAGGCTGAGGTGAGTGGATTGCTTGAGCTCAGGAGTTGGAGAGCAGCCAGAGCAAGAGAGAAACTTGGTCTCTAGTAAAAATAGCTGGATGTTTGGACAGAAGCATGTAGTCTAGCTACTCAAAAGGCTGAAGCAAGAGGACTGCATGAGCATGAGAGTTTGATCTACCCAGGGCAACAGAGTAAGACACTGTCATTAAAAAAAAAAAAATCTGTCCAGAAATGGTCCTTAAGCAAGGCAAGGCAGTGTAAAACCCAGCCTGCCTGGGTTGAACTCTCATCTCCTTAAGAGCTGTGTGATCTTGAAAAACTTGAACAGAGTTAGTCTCTCTGTGTTTGGTCTCCTCTTCTGTAAGTTGAGGAATACAATGGTGGTGAGGATTAGATGAGAAAATACGTGCAAATACATGTAAAATACTTGGAAGAACACCTGAGGTGTAGTAAGTGGTAAGTGTTACTTAAACGTAATATGTATTAGATTTGTGTAAATTTTATAGTTTGTTATGACTTTAAATGTCATAAGAGGAGACTCTTTTCCCCTTGGAGACTAACAGTGGGTTGGGTTCTTCCCTCCCCCTCAGGCATCACGGCGCTTTGGCACCATGAGCTCCTTGTCTGGGGCCGATGACACCGTGTACATGGAGTACCACTCGTCACGGAGCAAGGCCACAGCAAAACACGTGCACCCACTCTTCAAGCGCTTTAGGAAATGACACCCGCATGATTACTTAGACGAAGACTTGAATGCTGGGCACCCACATGGGGAAGGGATTTTCATTGTAACATTTTCTGTTCCCGTCGATGTGCTTTCCGCTAACAGCCAGCCAGATCTAAATATGGTATCTGACTCAGTTGAAGAAAATGCATCAGAGGTTTAGTTTTGCCTTCATGGATCATCCAGAGTTTAGAAAGGAGGGAGAGATGGGTGGCGCCTCACAGGAGTAGGGCGCTGGTCCCATGTACTGGAGGTGGCAGGTTCAAACCCAGCCCCGGCGAAAGCCTGCAAAAAAAAAAAAGGAGAGGAAGATTATGTATTTTTGTTCTTTTCAAACTGGTTGGGAAGTGGGTCATTCCTGTATATAAAAATTTGTAATATTTAAAGCATATTTATCTTAATGTTCTCTTGAATAAATCCATATGGGCTGTTTAACCACTTTTCAGTGTAGAAGTGCTTTGTGCCTTGCCTTGGGCAGGGGCATGTCTGCACAACCAGCCTCCATCCACGCCTGACTTGTCTGCAGGCACAGAGGCATGAGATAGGCAGCTGGGGACTCACATCCCAAGATGCCTGTGTAGATGTGTTGGTGGGAAAAGGCCCCAGGGAACTTGAGGAGGGTGGTTTGGATGGGGAAGAGCTTGAGCAGTTGGGGAGTGGACCCTGTTCCTCGCTTGTCCCTGGCAGGTTCAGATGGAGGCTACTGCTGCCTGCTTTTCCAGGGCCCATGGCTGTCCTACAGGCTTGTCCTGCAATCACCTGCAACACATACGCCCTCCAGATCAGCTCATGATCATGCCCTCTAGGGCACAATCTCTTACTTCTCCCTCAAAATACAATGTAGATCTTGCTAGGAAGCTGGGTTCCTCTTCTAAAGGCGGTTTAGAGCTCTTGGGTCTTTAATGGCCAGTTCCTTTATTCTTAAAAATGGCTTTGGACTTTTTCTGTCTTGTTCCTAATATGAAATAAAAGGTGTTGAGGAAAAGAGAAGCAAGGCAAGATTGCTCCATAAAAGGCAGGCACGTACAAGGTGCCATCACAGAGAAAAGCCTGTTGCTCCTAGGTGGCAACTGGTTCTAATAGGAAATAGTGCTCATACACAGGAGAGCTGGCGCCCTGCGCAGGTTAGATGTGGAGCCCTCAGCAGCAGGCTCCCTTTTCCTGCACCATCAGCCAAGAAGACAGCATCTCTTTCCAGGATGTTTTGAAGCAAGAGCCACCTCCCCCACATTCCACTTGTCTGAGCTGACGTTTTGAGGACAAACTCTAAGAGTCTTATCAGCAGCTGGTGCACCAGACAGCTGGCCACTGCCAGTGCAAGCCTAAGGAAATGACAATGGGGTCCCTGATCAAAGCAGGGGTCCCTGAGTAACCAGACTTGAGACCCATGTGCCTTTAGGGGGATGTGTACAAAGGCCTTGCCTGTCATTCAACCCTGAGGGGCTGGACCCAGATGTTCAAACTTGATTCCAACTGACGTTATTTTCAGAGTCTGATCTCTTGTCATACTTACATTTGTCATACTCAAACAATTCCAAGTTTTCCTGTGTTTTCACATTTCTGACCCTTGTTTTCTTGCTAATTGACAATGTTGAATTTTATGTGATCCCTGAGATCCTAGCGAATAGGGATGTTTAAAGGATTCCCTCATTCTTTGTGTCTTGGAAAACAATTTGCTATAAAGAACCATCCTTCCCTTACTGCAAATACTCTGCTTGTTTACCTGAAATAAGGTGAACAAAAAATTTAAAAAATTGGGAGGCTCAGAATTCCCGAATTCCCAAATTCCCATTCTTTGCTTCATAAATGATTATCTAGACTGCTAATTGATCCCTACTGATCAATTGGAACAAAATAGTTGTGAACTAAACTTTGGTTAAGATTCTCTTTTTCAGCTCAGCGCCTGTGGCTCAAGTGGCTAAGGTGCCAGCCACATACACCTAAGGTGGTGGGTTTGAATCCAACCTGAGCCCACCAAAAACAACAATGATGGCTGCAACCAAAAAAACAGCCAGGCATTGTGGCGGGTGCCTGTGGTCCCAGCTATTCGGGAAGCTGAGGCAGGAGACTCAACTTGAGCCCAGGAATTGGAGGTTGCTGTGAACTGTGATGTCACGGCACTCTACCCAGGGGAATAGCTTGAGGCTCTGTCTCAAAAAAAAAAAAGATTCTCTTTTTCCCCAGGCTCCTGAACTTTGGCCCACCCACCTCTAGCCCCTCCTGAGTATAGGCTGGACTCAGGGTAAATCATTATCTGATCCGAATCTTCTCATTTCCTGTCACCTTTCTATTCAATTCTTCCTCCCCATAAAACCTTTTGCCTAACCCTCCAAACACAACTTATGTTCGGTACATTTTCCCTATTACAATAGTATCCTCTGCCCCACCTCTTTGTAATAATCCTTTCAAATAAAGTCTCTGTACTGAATTCAGATTTGTTTCTTATTTGATACCATGTAACAAGTTTTTTATTACTCTAAATTTCCAGATATTTGTTGCTAATACATAAAAATATAACTGGTATTATATACACTGTATTTTGCAGTCATGCTATACACATTCTAAGAGATTTTTTTTCTAGATTTCTAGATTAAATAGACCAACATCAGGGTGGCACCTGTGGCTCAGTGGGCAGGGCGCCAGCCCCATATACTGAGGGTGGCAGGTTCGAACCCGGCCCCAGCCAAACTGCAACAAAAAAAAAATAGCCAGGCGTTGTGGTGGGCGCCTATAGTTCCAGCTACTCGGGAGGCTGAGGCAAGAGAATGGCCTAAGCCCAGGACTTGGTGGTTGCTGTGAGCTGTGTGACACCACAGCACTTGAGAGCGATAAAGTGAAACTGTCTCAAAAAAAAAAAAAAAAGGCCAACATTGATGAAGACATAGAACACTTAAGCAGTACTATCAGCCGACTTAACTGACATTTATAGAGCACTCTACCCAATAACACTCTTTTCTAGTACACACAGATCACTTGCTGAGGTAAAGCAGATTCCAGGCCCCACAAGTCCCAATAAGTTTAAAAGGATTCAGGCCATATAGACACATGAAAAAATGCTCATCATCCTTAATCATCAGAGAAATGCAAATCAAAACTACTTTGAGATATCATCTAACTCCAGTAAGATTAGCCCACATC